TGCTGTTGTTTTTGGACCCCAATTCTTAATTAGCTACTTTTCTTCTTTTATTATTTGAAATTTATTTATAATTCCAGTATAAAACCATTGCTAATGAGATTTGATGTGGCCATGTTTTCTTATGGTTTTGGAGATACACAGTTATGTTTGAAAATAATTTTCAAATTTAGAATCTACTTGCTAGATTAAAAGCAAAAAAATAAAAAGGTTTTTTACCACCAAATTGAAGTTTTGAGTTGGTGAAACCTTGGAAGGGGCACTGATCAATGTACATGCTTTATATTTTTTTGCCTCTTTTAAGTTTCTCTGTTTTGACATCTTTCTTCAACAATTTGTCATTCATGTTTTTTGTAGAAATCAGTGGAATGCTTTGTTTTGTTTGTGTTTTTTTGGGGGGCCTTCTATGTTTCTTCGTGCATGGTGTTGCTATACTTTGTTCAAGTTGTGTTTGTATTTCTCCTTTGGAATTCTCAATGATAAGTGGCAAAATCATGTATTACTTTTGTTTATTATGTTCTGCGTCTTTAAGTCCTTCATTGTTGTCATCTGTTGGGTCCATGTCTTCTTTTGCTACCAAACTCTAACATAATGCTACCTATCACTCTTTTGTAGAGAACTTGTTGGTTACCAAAGATGTCATCAAAATTGCTGATTTTGGTCTTGCTCGGGAAATCGATTCGCAACCTCCATATACGGAATACGTGTCGACACGGTGGTGAGTTTATTTTTGTAATTAGTTAGCTCTGCCTGAGTGCAAACTTATTTATGTGAGTTACTAACCTCTAGAATGTGGGCATGTTAGGTATCGAGCACCTGAAGTCCTGCTCCAGTCATACCTGTATAGCTCAAAAGTCGGTGAGTGTTTATGGAAGTTCGAAGTTTTGAATTTTTTTTTTTTTTGGAAAGTTAATGCGTTATTGATGGTTGGTTTATGAATGACTTAATTTTCATTTATTCAAATGTCAGATATGTGGGCAATGGGTGCTATCATGGCTGAGTTGTTTACTCTCCGCCCTCTATTTCCAGGTGTTAGGTATGTATTCATTACTCTTTAAACATCAAGTGATTTGTTGCCCAATGGGAAACATTGCTATGATTATTGGATAGCATTTTGATATTAATTGATTGTGTAATTTGTTTGAAGATATTTAGTAGTTTATCTGCTGATAATTTAGCAACTGATATATTAGTTGGTTTACTTTTAATGTTCTTCTTACCCTTGCTTCCCCTCCGACTGTGTTTTCAGCGAAGCAGATGAGATATACAAAATATGCAGTGTGATCGGTAGCCCAACCAAGGATTCATGGGCTGATGGGCTTCATCTTGCAAGGGATATCAACTACCAATTTCCTCAGGTCAGTTTTATCCTACTTTCTTTCTGGCATTTTTAGTGTGTTCATTGAGTTGCGTAGACTTTTTCAGGAATCTCTTGGGGAATTCTTTGTACATTCTTACATGTGGCAGACAATGCTGTCATTTCTGTATCGTATTTATGAAGGATCTTCGATATAAATGATTTTGAGGGGCATACCTTTTGGGATTTAATTTTATCTGCGTTATCCAGTATGATTAGTGGATATTAAGTTGGATCTGTTTCTTTTTGCAGTTCGCGGGTGTTCATCTTTCTACGCTGATTCCATCAGCAAGTGATAGCGCAATCAGCCTTATGACAGTAAGTCCAATTTTGTATTAAATGTAGCTGCTTTCCCCTCCCAACCTCCAATCACCCCACTGTGGCAAACTTTTATGTCTTAACTAGTAGTCTACTGATGTGACACTTACGTTTTCCCTTTCCTTCTGTTGTAGTCACTTTGTTCTTGGGACCCATCCAAGAGGCCAACAGCTGCAGAGGCCCTCCAGCATCCTTTCTTCCAGGTAGGTTTTTTGGAACAAAGTATAATTAGTGAAACATCCAGTCTTGAATGGTTATCTGTAGATGTTTTGCATATTCTAAGGTGTGCTTTTCATGTGGCAGAGTTGCTATTATGTTCCGCCATCCCTTCGCTCCAGATCAACTGTTGCTAGGACACCTCCATTTGGTTTGTTTATCTGATAATTGTTGAATTGTGTTTTTAATTATTCATTTTGTTTAGGATACTAATTTATGTGGATTGTTACAGCTGGAGCAAGAGTAGCATCGGAGCAGCAATGTGCTAGAAAATTATCTGGGACTTTATCTAATTCAAAGATTTCTAGCAACTTTCCTTCCCCAAAGCTGCATGTCTCTATGGGCACAGGTCAGTTTGAATGTTGTTCTGTTGAGTTTTAGTCTTTATATTCTGACTTCAATATTTTTTTGTTTTTAAATATCTGTAGTTTGTGTTCTGTTTTGTAAAATACAGTTATGAGT